CCTACAAAGCTCACAACTGAGGGTGTGAAGTGACAACTTTGGATAATTAACATTCTTGGACAGAACTGAAATAACTTCCCAACCCCAAAAATACATAAAAATGTTTCTTACTAGACTATTCAGTTTGCAGGCATTTTTCTTCCCTACAAGTGAGCACATACCTTTAAGATATTTGAATATAGTTAAACATTTGACTAAGTTTGCAACAAACTGCATATACAAAACAAGAACACAGAACTGCAGACAGATCTGAGCCCTGAACCAGGCCATGAATCTAAATTATTTAAGTTACCATTAATTATTTGAGAAAAATACCAAAGGGGGCTTTTTATGAAAGAAGAAGTTAAAATGATTCTTATAAAAAGTGTAAGAGAAAACTTAAATCATTTGTGCAGTTGCTAAGTTTGGTTGTTAAGAAAATTACACTGAAAATGTAAGTATATATGCTGCTTGAATGCTTTCAAAGCTAAATGGTAGTAAGGAATAAGAATTCAAAGCTAAGAGGATGAGATCACATGTAAAAGTGAACACAAACACAACAGTTAAGAGCTCACTGAAAAGCATAATGTGCAAACATTGGTAGGAGCCAGCTTTGTTACCAGGTTATTCATCTTAATGCTGAATACAGAAAGATACACTCTTACATGTTACTGAGCATTTTACTGAACAATTCCAGTGTAAAAGTTTTAAATATCAATTTAATTTCAAAGGCTGACGTGAACATTTACATAGCTATCAGAAAGAAAAGTCAGGGTATGATTTTGGTAGACACATCAGTGTCTGAAAATGTGTCTTTTCAAGAAAAAAATACTAAGTGAGTGTCTAAATGTTAACATAAGGAGAAAGGTATCACTTTCTTTTTTTGCTCTCTCCACATAATAAACAGGCAGAAGCAGATTTAGAAAAACACAGACAATTGTAAAATTAATTGGAGCTGATGAAGGTTCACTTCCTTGTGTTCAGCTCCATATAGAGCAAGTCTGACACAAAAAAATTGTGAAAGCAGTTAACTATTTAAATGCATGGCGGCTGCTGCTGCTGCAACAGTTACTACAGCAGCAAAAGCTACAAGGTAGTTCTGCTGCAATCATGTTTCTGCAGAAAACTATTTGACACTAACTCAGGCAGGCAAAGTTAACAAAATCAATTTTAAAAGGCAAAATAATAATAAAAATTGTCTACCTCCATTAGCACCTAAAATATGCCACAGACTACATAAAACTGGACAAAGGTTTAAAACGAGTGGTAAGGACTGGAAGTGAAATTGCACAGTGCCACACAGACCTTGACATTTCTATGGTGTGGGAATTACAGAGAAAGTGTAACTTGCAGTTGTTCACTATTTATGGAGTCTTAAGATTGGAGAAGGAGAAAGAGACATGGTGAGCAAGAAATACATTTAGTAGGATAAAAACAGCTTGAATGGAAGGCAAAAGGGAAGGGCTATGAAAGGGGAAGCAATGGAGGAAAGAAGAGAATGCAAGAATACAAATTATTGCCTAATGCATCATGTTCTCCTCTTCGGTCAGAAGAAGAATGCAAACAAATCAAAACAACTAAATATTCAGCTACATCAAATTTTCCAAAGGAAGGAAGATTAGAAAGCTGGAAGTGGAATGGAAAGAGTTGCTTCTGTTCCAGGTAAGTATAGGTATGGCAGAATTTGGGATCTAGAACTGACTTTGAATTAGCTGCTGATAGCCAGGTAAGGTCTATCGGATGAAGGCTGCAGAGCTGGATTTGTATGGGAGGACTATACAAACAGAAATCAGATATGGCAGAGAAGGGGATAAAGGATAACTAAGCAAAGTTAATCAGGGAAAAACAGAAAAATAATGGTCATCCTTAAGACAGCTTTTAATTCACATGTTTAAAAAAAGTTTTAAAAACAAGCTGAATAAAAAAAACCCCAAACTTGAAATAAAAACTCCACACAACTCCCACCACAGAACCCAAAAAAAGAATAGTATCCACTTACACCTAGCGGGGGAAGGCCTTCCACAATATTCTTCTTCCCAGACAAAAGATCAGACACAGGTCTCTTCTTTACTGAATCTTTCCTTACTCTGTATCTCCCTGATGTTGTAAGATCAGATTCCGACATAGATGGAGTAAGCAGTCCTTCTCCTCTTCTCTGTACCTGACTTTCTACTAGTAAGTGGACAGGGCTCATATCTTTCATTCTCTTTTCTGTCTCTGTAATATGTAATTTAGGCTCAAGAATATGCAACGGGCCAGCAGATGAAGGAACAGAGCTATAAGGGTAGTTCAGAACTGAATCATGGGAATAACCACCCATAACAGATGAAAGTTGGGTTTGATCTTCTGGGAGAGGAGAAAGACTTGAACTAGCCTTGTTTTCTTCTTCAAATTCTTCTTCCTCCTCACTACTGTGAATCAGCATAGTGGCATCTGAAAGGGTTTTCTTATGATCACAGTTCACACTTTCTTCTTGCTCGCTTTCTTTTTGCTTTTTTCTCTCCATCAGAATGTTGGGCTGTGACCCTTCTGAAATAACTCTCGGAAGAGTCACATCCGCTGCAGAAGCTGACATGGTCCTCTCTTTAATTCTTATTCCTTCAAAGCTGGGAGTTAAGCCTGCTATTTCAATGCTGTTCCTTTTCTGCAGCTGAGCATGGCGTGCTGATGTTAGAGGTTCACTGACTTCCTGAAGAGAATGTGCCACAGGTAGGCTGTCTTCCTGAAATGTCTGGACAGAATGGTGCACTCGCCTTGTGATAAGATCTGGGTTGCTGCTGCTAATGTAGATATGTCGTGAAAGGTCTGGAGTACTATTTGCAGGTCTTGGGTACGGGTATGGGGGTGGTGGTCGATAGACTTGGGTCTTCATTATATTTGGTGCTGGATAGTCCTGAGCCTGGAGCTGCACATTTGTCAACTCAGGTACACTGACTGCCCCAACAACTGGGCGCTTTTCAGCAGGGTAAGGATAGGGGGACTGGCTATGAAAACTGTAGTTCAGGTTAAATGGATAGTGGTTAGATTGTGGAGAAGTGAAGTGAGCATGTTCTCGTATTTCAGGTTGACTGTAAACTAAGGCATCAGGCCTGCTGTAAGCATAGGAATTGCTGATGTTAAGATTTCTCATTGAATGACTCTGCCTATCTGTGTGCACCATTCCCCTGTTGAGTTGTCTCATCACAGTTTCATAGTCCGGCGTGGGGCGATAAGAAGGTGGTATGAGTGCACTGTGCCTGTGTGATGGGATATAATCCGGTCTGAGGACATCGCTTCCAGTAATGCTTGGGTTAGAGGACATGGGGGATGGCTGCAAGTAATGCTGTGGATTGTTCAAGGAGTTTGTGCTGTGTGCGCTATAGACACTACCATTGCGGATCCGACCACTGTAGTCATGAGGGGTTCTATCCAAGCTAGTTTGAGAGTGACAGTAGTATCCATTCTGATTGCTTACAAAGAGGTTATCTGAAAGTAAAGTTTAAGAACAATCTTTATGTCTGAGACATCAAACAAAAATATCCTCTATTAAGATGTAGATAACCAATGTTTTGAGGTTTTCAAAATACCAGTTATTCTTAGCTAAGTATTGAAATGGGAAAGAAAAAAAACACACCAGCTTTTCTGTTATGCTAAGGTATGTATACCAGAAAAACTATTATGTTAATTTAGATGATGCCAATTCCTATTGAAAAAAAAAAAACCAACATTGTCTCAATTTAAGAATGGCTTTCTCCTGTTTAGGAAAGGTTTCCTAAGTTTCAATCCAAGTTAAACAAAATCTGTACCAACCTTAAACCTCACTAAATGAAGGAAAGAATGTCTACACAGGATTTGCGCTAATCTAATGAGACCAGTTTAAACAGCAAGGAAGAAAAAAAGGCAAAAAAAAAAAAACTAAAAAAAAAATCCCACAACAACTAAACTAAAGACCCCTCTCTCTCCTCTTCTCCTCCCCAGTCCATAGTAGATACACTACCACAAGACCTTCCAAAAAATATTTAAAAAAATTCAAATTAACTTTTCTCCAGACATTTTGGAAGGACAGTTTAAACCACAACCATATATTGTTTGCACATTGACATATATTCACTCTGGTGGGTAAAGAAAATGATCTAAGAGTTTATACATTCAATAATTAAACCATTACTTCATTGGATGTACAAACTGCCAAACTCCAGGAGACAACAATTCAGCCATTGCTTTAGATACCTTTCATGATTTAACTCCTCAGGTTCACATAAAAAAAAAAAAAAAAGCCACACTTAAGTTATTGAATTTGCTGACAGTTAAAAAAATCTTTTGTCTGTCAAAAAATTTCTCAAAAATAGACTGGGTGCATGAGCAAGTATCCAGTAATAATTCCAACACTATATTAGAAAAAAATCAGCTACATCCTTAATGTATATAACCTGTACCTTTATAAACTCTATTTAGATAGAAAAGATGAGTGTACATTCCTTGAGACATCTAATTGGGGTTTATTTGGGATTTTTTCTTTCCTTTTTCTCAACCAAATACATACCAATTCCATAACTTCCAAACTTCCTTAGCCTTTGAAATCCCCACTACCTTACAGTCTAGCAAATTCCAAAAGAAACTTCTCTCTTCCTGCATCCTGTGTGTAGTATTTTTCTTTTTATTTTTTGAATTGTCTGAATTGTCTGAGGACTCAGCTACTCCTTGCAGCTACTCTGATCAATATTGACAAGTGTCTCACAATTCCATAATGTATCAGTTTAGTACACGAACCAAAAAAACAATGGTGAGCTTAAGCTCCCACAAGGGACCACAGCCTACAGTTGCTGCATATGCTATCATAACTAACTTTGCCCATATCCCACAGGACAGGATATAGAGAAGGAACAACTGAGGGAACTGGGGTTGTTTAGCCTGGAGCAAAGGAGGCTGAGGGGAGGGAGATGTTAACACTCTCTACAAGTACCTGAAAGGAGGTTGAGCAAGGTGGGGGTGGGTCTCTTTTCCCAAGCAGCAAACAATAGAACAAGAGGAAACGCTCAAGTTGTGCTGCCAGAGGAGGTTTAGATTGGATTTTAGGAAAAATGTATTCACTGAAACGGTTGTCAAGCACTGGAAAATGCCCAGGTAAGTGGCTGAGTCACCACCATCCATTGACGTATTTAAGAGAGGTGTAGATGAGGTGCTTAGGGACATTGTTTAGTGGTGGACTTGGCAGTGCTGGGTTAATGGTTGGACTTGATGATCTTAAAGGTCTTTTCTAACCAAAACAGATTCTATTATTCTATTTCACATTAGCTTACATGCCTAGAGTAGCAGCAAACACTTCAGTAAGTGCTGTAGTACAAGTCTATTCCATTTTCACCCTATGAATTTATTCATCTCTAGCTGCAGTAGTTATAAAATGCAAATTATAGCTTTACCTTCTAAAGTTGGGTAGTGTGGCCTTGGATTTAATGAGCTTACCTTGGGACGATGCATACGGTTCAGTATAATGACCATTGTAATGCAGCTGAGGTGGTGGAGGCATCATGTAAGGCTGAGGCTTGGGCTACGAAAGCAAGCATCTTATTGTTAGTTAAAAACTCGTTATGTATTTAAAAAATAAGTTTTGAAGCTTTAAAAATATATAGTATCAATACACATATGAATATGTATTAATATATTAACATAAAAATTTTATATATAGATAAAGTATAATACACACATGCACATACAAAGCCTTAGTTTCTCCTATGAGGTCATATGAGAAATAATTTTTTTAAATTATAAAAACCCAAAACTACACACTACAAAGCCAAGACTGTATCTCGTCATCTGACATCTAGGAAAGTGTCCTAGATGAGTCTCCAAAAAACAGAGCAATCAAACTGAAGTGTTTAAAATATTATCCATTGCAATTACTTTAATTCCATTATTCAGATAGTATGTAGCAGCTTTTCCTTCAAGTCAGAAACAATTCCTCCTATACTATCTTTTTCACTGCTCATCTTATTTCCATGAAGAAAACTAATTCAAAATTGAATTGAATTTATGAATTGAAATTCATAAAAATGCAAATATAAAGCTATTTGCTCTCCTTACCATAGACATCCTAGATGAAGACCGCCTTCTAACAGGATTCACTGTAACAGGCTGGGTTTGTCTACAGAAGAAATTTTATGTTGAGAAATTATTTTTAGAAACTAGAAGACCTATTTCAACCCTTGGAAAATTCTCCCAAGTTCAGTTAAAAACCACTCTACGTTTTGCAGAGCCAGGTCCTGTGTTAAAACAGACCACCCCAACAGTCTCAAAAAGAAAGTGCTCTGTGCATAAACCTCAGGCATTTGACTCTTTTCTATGAAGCATAAAAAGGAGATGTCCCCAGAGCACTGCAGCAGGGCAGAAAAAGCAGTGGGATAACCAGGGACTAGTTCCAAAATTGAACCCCATATAAAATCTCATGCTGTAAGTTACCTTTTCAACAAGACCAGACATAAAATTGTTGACAGAATGTAATGTTACAGATGCTACAAAAACTGGAAAGAATGACTAAACAGCATGAGCACTTCTATGTTCTAACATTCAAGCCACCAGTAATAAATTATCATAATTTGTCTTTGATTGCCTCCAGGATGTAAGGTTCAGAAACTTTTAAGTTCCTTTTTTCCCACTCTACACTGCACCTGCACTCTGCATCTTGCAGCAAGACAGAGTCAAATGACAGCAGAATAATGCAAATGCAGGAACAGCCAGATTTCAGAAAGAGAGATGATTTTTCAGCTCACCCTTTGGGAAGTGAAGGACGAGAAAGGATTGGAAAGCGTGGAAGGGAAAGAATGAGGGAAGACTTCTGAGAGCCCTCCTCAGGTGGAGAGTCCAGGGAATCTCTAAAGACAAGGTATGTACAGATAAAGAAAATAAACAACTGAACTTCATACAGACATGCACAAGAGTTTTCAGCAGCCAGACCAGATGACAGGGAAACTTAGAGCAGATGTAAGAAAAAAAGGTTTTGTGAGGACTTTACCTATTAATAAGCACTTATTGTAGTGAAAGGGTTAAAATAAATAATCCTAGAGACTGACACCGGAAACAGAACTATAGAACTGCCATTCTTCAGATAGCAATGCACAAGTCCTGCAAATGCACTACTTCTAGCCAACATTTACAAGCTTAGAGATATGGCGTCTACTCCATTTCAAATTATTCTTTCTCTTCTAAAATAAATAAGCATTAAACAGACTAGCAAGTCTTCTGTTGTACAAAATATTCCATTATCTTTCCAATGGCCTCAGCCCATTTTGGATGAACCCCTCCACAGCTATCTTCTCATGTACAAAGAGGAAGAATGGAACATTTGGGAAACAGTTTTTTATGACAGACTATTCACTGGGTCTAATTCTCTGTTCTTTGACAGAAGTAACTAAACTGAATGAAAGCTGTACCAGTAGAGTAGCTCAAATTCCAGCCCTTGATTTACAAGTTGGAGACCAGCCCATTTAAATTTAATTTGATGAATTGTATTAAATTTACTTTGCACTGGTGCTACTTGAGCTATACGGATTCCATGGATATCCAAAAGACCACACACCACTCAGCTGTCAATCCAGCACATTTCAGGAGTGCTTCACATTCACTTCCTGTCCTTTTAAAGGCCTCTAGAGTGTCCTTTCAGAGCAGTTCACCCAAACCCAGGCCAAAATCCCAGTGATTCCAGTAGCTCATGGACAGACTAGCAATAGTAGCCCCTGAAGCAACTAAAGTCTGTCACAGAAGTAAGATCCAGCAGCAGGAGTCAAACACTATTGCTTTGGATAATATTTCAGTGTTTAATATTGTCCTCTGTTACAAAGCAGAAAATGTCTGTCAAAGTGAAGTATTTTATATAAAATTATTAAGGAAAAAAACCCAAGTCATTAATTACTATCATCTAAACTGGACAGTAAAGACATTACAGAAATTATAAAAGATTTCTCTTCCCAATGGAAGCTTCAAGGGCACCAAGAGTTCTACTAATGTAATCTACTTACAGGCTGCATTTATTTAGTCTGTAAAATTTGTGTCTAGCCACACACATCCTCCATACATATTTTGCTGTTTCCATATCTTCCTGCCAAAAAAAAAACACAACAAAAACCAAAAATTTTGCCTTTTAGGCCAAATATGCATACCTTTCAAATGCTTTCAGACAAGCCATTGAAATTTTTAAGATTAAATTCATATTAACTGATTTCCTTTCAATAAAACTTCATTATTGTCACCAGGTTTTCCCT